TTGTGCCCTTGCTGCACTTGTCCATCCTGTCTCTGGGATGGCCTCAAAACCATCGGGGGGTGGTGCAAACCGTCTCTCCTTTGCCAAGGTACGTCGCGGATCGCGAGCTGTTGCCAGTCATGATGCTGGTAGTGCTGACTGTTTGCTCAGATCGCAGCTATGCCCCCTCCGTCAAAACCGCAGCCGGCGGCTGCCCCTCATGATGAAAATCCCTCTCGGACGGCCGACGACCTGAAAATCCCACCGGTATCTCACAGTTCAAGCACGACACCACCCAGCCAGTCGAGCTCGAGTGATGATCAGCGCAACGATGCCACGGTCAGCGAAGAGTTTAACGGCCTTGAGAGGGGTGTGCAGAGTCTTGAATTGAGTGAGCAACAAGGCCGAGAGGGCTCAGAGTCCTCCGGAGAGGAGCGAGTAAACGGCGTCCTTCAGAGGGAGACTTCCTTCGATGACGACCAGACTCACCTCTCAAACTCGTCCACGAAGCCAACCAGTTTTGACTCCAAGAGCATGGCTTCTGTAACGACGTTTGCCATGGATGAGAAGGATTCTTTGCGGCCGGATGACAGTGCGAGCGTCCAAGCTGCAGATGAAGAAGAGTCGCTCTCTGGGTCCGGCTTCCGGTGCCCCGAACTCACTGACTGGCTCAGAAGCTGGTGCTCGAGGATTTCGAGAGCCTTTCCGAGAGGGAAGCTCTCAGAAGATCCGTGGGATAGTGCCAGCTGGCATGCATCGCTTTCCAGATGGAGATATTCGTGTCACCGGCACCATCCCACCGGACTCAGTGTCCAACAACTTTGTAGTGCCCAACTCTGGAAATTTCCAGGCTGGAAAACCTCTCCATGGATTCCCGGAAGAGCCCGATGAGAAGCTCTTGGAAGCAATGAGCTCTCCAAAGGACCGGCTTCTTTTGCTTCAGCTGGAAGAAAAAATCAGGAACTTCATCCAAGATTCGAAGTGCGTGGCACATACACTGTTTTCTTTTTTTTTTTGCTTCCATTGATAGTCTAATCTGGCTTTAATAGGGAACAATCACTGGACCTACCGCCCTCCAATGCCTTCGGACGTCTTCTAGCGCACAAATTGGGCGATTATTACCATTTGACGCATTTCGTGGATAACACTATCACATCTGTTCGGCTCCACCGGACTCCGTTTACAAGACTGTGAGCATCTAACTAAATCCCTGGTTAGCCATGCTTTGCTAACCAGTTTTAGTCCAACCCCCTTGTCCCAGCTACGACCGGCCAATGCAAATAATACACCTCCTCCGAATGCCCCGGCAATGAAGATCATGCGCCGAACTGATCAAAATGCTGATCGACCAGCTACGGATGGTAGTACAGCTGCCAGCTCATCTGCACCATCGAAAGCTGCCTCCGAAACCGGTGGCGAAGGAGGAAATGAAGAGGGCCGCACTGGCTCTTCTGCGGGAGCAACGCCAGCTAAAGAGCGCACTACAATGACTCGGGAAGAGCGCGAAGCGAAGTATCAGGAAGCTAGGGAGAGAATCTTCCGGGACTTCCCCGAGTCGAAGTCGGAAAATAACAGCGGCGACAACAGTGCAAACATGTCTCGTTCCAGTTCAACCAGCGGTCGCAAGAAGAACTTCAGGCAGAAAACTCCCCATGATGACACCTTCGAAGTGCGATCCCAGTTCAATGTTTACTACCCGGGGATGCCCTATACCACAGGTCCAGTTCCTATGCCCGTGGCAATGCACAATGGATCTTTTCCAGGCCAGCCTCCATATGTCGTGGGCCCTGGCGCATCACCTCCCGCTATGAATTATGCCCAAAATAACCAGAACGGCGCCGTGTTCTCTTCTCCCGTGAACTCAGTTCATCACTATCCGATGGCCATGCCTCCCCATATGGGGCAGAACAGTTCGTGGCAGGCTGCTCCTGTACCCCAACAATCGCCCTTCTCTGGGTATGCTTCGATGAATCAACCTTCACCAATGGTGGGACAGCAATCGTCCACGAGGTCATCTCCAGCGATGAATAATAGCTACGCGGTTCCGAACCCTACACAGTTTCCTCCCGCGTCTTCAACAACATGGGCGTCGCCTCCATACCAGGGCAACTTTTCGCAGTCACCTCAGCGGAATGCTCCGGTGCATTGGCCAAATTATCCATCTCCGTCCATGGCACCCAATACCGCTCCGTATCCCTATGGCCAGCTACCAGGCCAGCACTTTTCTGTTCCTGTTCAAAACTCGGTAGCTCATCCCTTACCAGGGAACTATAACAGGCCTCCTTTCAATCCCCAGACCCGATCCTTTGTGCCGGGCGGTGGCACGTCTTCGGCACGACATTCGGGAAAGGGCCCTCAACATGGTGCAAATGTCTCCTATCCCGGGTCACAGGCTAGTGGTCAGCAGCCCTGGACCGGATACCCAGACAACCATAATCATGGTCAACCGGCCACACATATGTCACCACATGCGGGCAATAAGAACTCAAACAACGCGGCACCTTCGAATTCAAATCCACCCCGCGGACCGTCTTCTGGTAACCAGGATTCCATTGCTAAATGGGGTACACCTGCTCACCTTCCTCCGAAGCCTCCGCCTTCGGAAGTGCCATCCGATTTTGATATAAAGGGCCGAAACTCTTCGTCTTCAAGTCATTCTTACCAGAACAATATACCGCCGAGTTCTAAGAATGGACCGCTCGTCGTGTCTGGAGGAACAAGTGTACCGAAGTCCAGCTGAGGATTAAACCAGTGAGGTCATCGGAAGTCCTCCTTTTTTCTGCTATTTTTTTTTCTCTTGTGCATCTTGCTGCATGGCGTGGTTCAGTCAAATTCAAATGGAATGAATATGGCAGTCGTCTGGCGGGCGGCGTACCTGGGCAACTTCTGGTTATAATGTTCAAGTAGCATACAAAAAATCTCATAGTTGGCGCATCCAAGGACATAGTGACACTCCGCAAAATCTGCTTACCCATGGTTAACAGAGGGACGCAAGAAATATAATAGACCTAGGGAGTGGCCAGCATAATACAACAAAATCCGTACGTAATTCGAGGCTCATGTCTGGCTTGATTTCATGATAGAAAAAAAAGATTCCCATTTCTACTCGTGAGTTCGGTATTACCTATGACACAAGTAAGATTGGATTTTTTTTTTTAAAAAAAATTAATGACACCAGACGAGAGTGAACTGGAATAGTGCTCTCAAATTTGCCCCTATATTCTACCCGAATATGAGATCAAACTCCAGAACGAACAACAAAAAAGCATGCGATGTGATACATGATTCGGCCGGGAATATAATACATGTAGATTTTTATACAGAGTCAAGAAAAAAATCAAGCTGACTGGGCAAAAAAAATCCCTCTCCCCTCTTTGATTATCATCAAGGTCTATTCTTCTTCTCCCTCTTCTTCTTTTTGTTCTTTTTCGGACATCTTCCTCTTCTCTCTCATTTCGAATTTCTTGATCATCTTCTCGAGCTCCTCGACGCCGTCCTTCCGGAACTGCGTGACCTTGCGAACGTTCAAGGCCGTCAGCTCGTTGAGGGTTTGGATGCCCTGCATTCGTTGCCGTGCTATCGTCTTCGCCGTCATCGCGAACCGCATATCCTTGGGCCCGTCAACGAGTTCCAGAATCGCACTGGGAGCCTGGTCGTCCTTCTTGGGCTCGACGCGGAGGACCCGCGTGTATCCACCGGGGCGGTTGGCGTAGCGCTCCCGGAGAGGCCCAAAGAGCTTGGGGATGAGCTCGTGAGGGTTCTGGCAGGAGAGGAGGTAGTGTGTTAGTAGCTGGACCATGGAAATTCACCAATTGAGATTGTATACTCGTTCAGACGTGATGGCGTTTGAGACTCCCACGACACATTTCTCAATTTGCAGACAATAAAAAAATCTTCTAGAAGGGGGAAAAAAGCCACACATACATAAAATGTTTGCAGTGCCTTCTTCCTAGCGGCCTCTGTGTTCTTCTTCCCCAGCGTAATGAGTTTTTCAGCTAGTCGTTGTGCCTCCTTGGCCTTGGGCCACGTCGTCGTGATCGACTCATGCTTGAACAGCGAAGTCACAAGATTCCGCAGCAATGCCTGTCGGTGGGACGATTTCCGGCTGAGATGACGGTACTTGGGGGCACTGCCCGCCATGGTTGTGGTTGTGCTTGTTGTTTCTGGAGATAGGACGGTGCGGGAGAAGATTATGGGCCTGGGCCAGCTGGGCTGGACTGTATATCCTCAGGACAAAACCGAACGGCAAACAACCTCGAATCAATTGACCATTGAAATCTCCCTGTACTTGAATGGTTAATTGCGATATAGAGTGGGAATGCGCCTTGATGTAGGAAGTCGGTCGGTTTTGCGGAGACGGAGAGCGCTTAGCTTTCCGATCAAAAGATCCAATTCTGTAGTCGCCGGGACTGACCAATCGGAGTCCCGCAGCGAACGAACCCCGAGCTACATAAGACTTGACCAAAGGCATCTGCGCCCGCAATTCTATCTCTCTATTTATCGTCGCAATTTGTCACTTCCAATCTTCTATCTGTGGCGGGAATTACATTCGTGTTTGAGCTCAAGCGCCAAATCCACCACTGGAGAAAGGAAGTGTTTCAGGCTTTTTTCCTGGTACTTATCCAGGGTCTCTCCTCAAGATCACCCCACCACCATCTTCTGAGAACTATTATATGGAATTGAAAGCGGAGACCTACATCCCATTGAATAGGCCACAGTCTGTTCGCAATTGAAGAGTTGTTGCTGTAGCGATCCTTTTGAATTGGCGAAGATGGGCTTCATGGCTGGATTTGTATGTCCATTTTGATCTTTATCTTCTCGGCTGCCACTCTCCCGCGATAATGCTGATCAAATAGCGATTAGTTCGGTGGTTTCACCCTGACAACCTCTGTTCTATACCTCAGCCTGCAAGTCCACCGTGCAAATCGCTTACAGCAACGCAATGCCATCCGCGAGCAGACCGAGATCATCAATGACCTTGCCTCTCCCTTGGGCGCATACTACCGCCGCTTTGCGCCCGAGAACCAGCGAAAGACCAGGGCGGAGGAGAGATTGACGAGACCCAGCAGAGAGGATCTCTTGAAGCATCAATGGAATAAGGAAGTGGAGACGTTAGCGAGAAAGGCCTTAGCGGTGCGCTGGGAGGACGTCCAGGAGACCGCCCTGGAGGGGTTTAGGACTGTTTCGCGACTGGTGAAGAAGGAATGAAGCGTTGGAGACGTACTTAACTCTCTAGGAGAGATGTATTTTTTTGGAGGAAAACTCAACTAACCTATCAGGTCCTTTGATCTATGGTTTATACATATACCCGGGGTTATGGACACACACCATTGTGACGAGCGTTGGAGTTTGGAGTTTATAATGCCTTTCTTGTCACGTATATAGTATCAACACAGGATTTGTGTCTCTTTTGCTGCTCTTTCTTGGATTACTTATCCTGCGGTGAGCTTTAAACCTACATAGCAACCTGTATGCGCCTATGCAATACGGATACTCAAGCTAGGTAGTCCCTATCAGCAAGGATTCAGGTTCCTAGGGCTCACAGAAATTCAAATAGCATTTGCTGTGTAGATCATGCTGTAAGAGCATGATCTCGCCGATACAACTGAGACCAGCGCCTGTTCAAGTGCATAATGAATGGGAAATCACAGGGGTCATCATAAGATACCCGGACAGAAATTTGCGTGCGCTGTATGACAATCCACTTTGTCTCCCTGTCACTGGCGGACTGACGCTCGAGGAGACACTGGAAACAGTGTCGACGTTGAGTCCTCGCAATACCGAACGTCGTCCACAAGGCCACACGATTGATTTATTGTGTTGATAACAATCTTCTGTCCAACAGGCACTGGAATCGGTGGAATCGTGGGTGGAATCGGTGGAATCGTATGAGTGGAAGCCTGGTAACAGGAGACCTGGATGTTACAGAGACCTCAATCCATCACAGTCGCACGTGAGAGACTCCGGAGGAATGGATTAAGTAGCCTGATCATTCTAGGCTGGCTATGCCGGCAGGCCTGCTCTGTCTTCGTGGAGGATTCGATAGTCTTGAGAGAAATCGTGCGGCGTGCACGGACTTTCATCCATTGGTAGATGCTGCTGTTGTATTTACGCTCTCACTCGTAGTGTCGCTCCAGATATCCTTGCTCTCTCTCTCGACTGCCCGCATGGCTTGAGCGACCTCCTCCAGTCTCGCAACGACGTCGAGCACGCTACTGTTAACACGGTCAAAGTATCGATCATTGGCCTCCCGCCTCTTTCGTGCGTGTTGAAGATCTTTCTCTGTCTCTGCCTCCAGAGCTCGGTAGGTGGCAGTGCTGTCTGCTCCTGTTTCTGCCATTCTTCCGGATCCCGGTTGCCCTCCGGATTTGGCAGCAGGTTGATTCTGCTCCTCCGCGTTTTGGTCCTCCACCACCTCGTCCACTTCACTCCGTGCCCATGCTTGGGCGAGTTTCAGCTGCTTTGTCCGCAATTCGTCCAACGCCTTCGAATGCTCTTCGCCAAAGACGTGCTCTCCATGAACCGCACTCAGCTCTACCTCGGCGAGGGTGTTCTGCATTTCCTGCCATAGTATTTCTGCACTGTCTGCTTCACCTTGGGATTGGGTACGTGAGATGAACGGTGACAAGCTGCGGTTGGCTTCTGAGGATGCTGCAGAACGACGAGAGCGAGATCGCACGAAAGGCGGTCGCTGGGGACCCCCTGCAACGGATAGTGAAACGTTGGATGCATTATGTGATGGCGGTCCTTGGAATAATGACGGCGGAGGGAGACGCTGAGAGCTTGGCTTGGGTGATGGCTTGGGTCTGGGAGGGACTGACATTTGAAAGACAAAAAAAAATACGACGTAGGATCTACTCTAGAGCATGAATTCTAGGGAAGATCAAAGCCCTACCATGCAATTGTAGATTTGGTAGCTAGAAACCACAGCGAACTGCTGTGAGTGATGTTCCTATCAAGACGCTATCACAACATTGTTCCGTCTCGGTATGGATCTCCACTGGGCCGATGTTTCTCCGATACTAGCCTCTTTGGGGTTGGCGGCCGCACTCGCTTAGCGGCGCTAGGGCGAAGACGCACATCCACATTTTCGACCTGCCGACCTTAGAGAGATCTCGGCCGTCAAAGTTGAGAACGACTTCGACCTTCGACAACCAGCCCATCAGCCGTTTGGCGACATCCCTCTAGTCGGTATGTATACTCTCCCTTTCGCTGTCACTATTCGGTTCTATCTGCGGTCACTGTTATCGATAGAGGCCGAAGATAAATACCGGACGGACCCCTCCAATTTCACATTTTAAGGGCATGGCTTGATAACAGAACATATCTGACCGTCCTTTCACGCACAGAATTACGTTCACAGAAGACATACCGCCAAGATGGGTAAAGGAAAGCCCCGTGGCTTGAACGCCGCCCGCAAGCTCAAGACCAAGCGTCGTGACTCCCGATGGGCCGACCTGTCCTACAAGAAGCGCCTGCTGGGAACCGCCTACAAGTCGTCCCCGTTCGGTGGTGCTTCCCACGCCAAGGGAATCGTCCTTGAGAAGGTCGGAGTCGAGGCCAAGCAGCCCAACTCTGCCATTCGGAAGTGTGTCAAGGTTCAGCTGATCAAGAACGGCAAGAAGGTCACTGCTTTCGGTACGTCTCCTTCTTTTCATTGTCCAATGTGGATGGCTCTGTGGTGTTGCGAAAAAAGCGTCTCCCGGTGATAGGAGGGTGTTGATTGAGGAAATAATTTGGATACCGGGGAAATTACCTTGATAGATGATGCAAATCCAGTCTTCAGGTTGGCTGACTGATCGTCTCTCTAGTGCCGAACGACGGTTGTCTGAACTTCATTGACGAGAACGACGAAGTTCTTCTGGCCGGTTTCGGTCGTAAGGGCAAGGCCAAGGGTGATATTCCTGGTGTCCGTTTCAAGGTCGTCAAGGTGTCCGGTGTCGGTCTGCTGGCCTTGTGGAAGGAGAAGAAGGAGAAGCCTCGCTCGTAAACGACCAAAAATAAAAATGTGCTAAGGGGGATGGATGGAGGCTTGGGAAGATTCCATGGGTTTTGGCGCTATACGGTATCTTACTCTGGAATCGGGGGAAAAAAATTTCACATTATCAGCGCAAATGACACGCGATGCACCACAAATTTCTACGATCTTGAAAAAGAGAAAGGAAACGGCGTCATGACTTGTTCGGGAGGGTCAAAAGTACTCTCTATTTAGACGAAACCGGCTTGTTGCCGTTCATTCCCATTAGTGTAGCAACAGCAGGGGTCTGCCCTGTTTGAAATACATTATTTCTTTTTTTTCTCTCTTCATTCCAAGTTCCTGGGTATCAATGGAATTTTTTTAATTACTTTTTTCTCCTGGCTTCTCTATCTATAGCAACTTTTCGTTTTTTCCCTTACAAAGTAATATCCTCCTTTCGGTAATGATCCGAGACAATACGGTACAAGTAAGATGGTGCATGGCCTCCCCTGTTGAACAGAATGACAAGTCAGCTTATAAGTTACTAGACAATCTAGAGTTGACGAGGAGGGGAATAGAAGAAATGGCAGGGTAAATGAAGCTGTTTAAAGGGAGGAGAAACACGTACAGGTTCGTGATATAAAGATCTATCAATTCGGCCGGCACATAGTCGTAAAGCGGGTTTTCGACGTCAATCTTGTCCACCAGGTCACCGTCTTCGTATCCGATAACCTTGCTCGGGTCTCCGTGCTCAATCAAAGACTCGTAGTCGAAAGGATAAACAGGGCTCAGCTTGTAGATGCCGCTGACCACAACAACGGGCGTCTGGTGGACCTTGGCGGCTCTGGCAATAACCCGGGTGCCAGCTGCGGCGACCAGTCCGCCGTTCGCCAGGACGGAGTGTGTTCCCAGAATGACTTTGTTGACTCGAGACATGATGGCAAACACTGCGGAGTCCGGGATGAGGATGACCGTAATCCCTAACGCGATCAACGGCTTCTGAAATGACTCTGTGGACATATTCTCTTCGTCACCCTCTTTGTTCCCGGTGACTCGGGCATGGGTAGCTTCGTGATTATTCGGATAGGACTCGGCAATTATAACTGTGAATTTACGTTTGGCGGCTGCCTTGAGCAGAAACTTCTGCACGGTTGAGGAGGACGTATGAGTGAGGATGACCTCGTTGGAGTGTATGTGTTCCAACGCATATCCGGCAATTTGATCATCCACCTGTCCTAGTTCATCGATAATCTCACCGATCCCGTCCAGGACCTCTGCACGAACGTCCTTGTGCTGACCATGTCCGAATCTTCCCGACGGCGATGCCGTGCCCGGGGAGCTGGGCTGAGGAGATTCAGCTTCTGGATGTTGGAGGAGACTGAACATGGAAGTGACCGGGGGAGCTTGCGCAGAGGCAAACAAAGACAAAGGCGGCCGGGATGACGACCGCTCGGAGCCTTCGTGGCGGAGAGACAGAATGTCCTTATCATGCACTGGCAGCATATGCTCGTCCTGGCCACCATGAGACCGTGGAGGTGAATGGCTCTCGGCGCCATGAGGAGTGAGAGGCCGACTGTCCGAACCCGCCTCGCTCGCGATGGAGAACTCGCCGTCTCTGTCATCTTCTGCTTCATCGCGGATCAAACCCAGAACCCGCCTCACAATATTTCCCACAACCAACTCTCGCGGCTGCGCGGCCATCAACCGCCGTCCAACACTCTGGACCCGCTCGATCAACTTGGCAGCATCGGTGGTTCTGAAGGCAGACACGACCCGGAGAAGGAGGTAGGCAGTAGCGATCGCACATGATCGTGACAGACGGATTTGTCTCCGTTTGAGCAACCTGCATGCGTAAATAAAAAGTCCTCGAATTTTGTCAAATTAGGGCAAACGTACGATACCAGGTTATCGATAGATGTCTCAATGGGGTTCGTCTTCAAGGACTTGAGAAAGGACGCCAGCCCAGGCGTCAGGGCCACGGAGTTCGACGGCATTGCAAAACAGGACCAGACTGATTGATTTCGCTTCACTGTAGTCCTTCCTCAGTAAAAGATATAGATATCCGAGATCTTGCCCGAACACAAATGGTAGTTGGTGCGCTCGGACGCACGCGGTCCCAGGCTGGATGCCCGTCGACTCGTTTCGCTTTTCTTTCTGCAGCTGGGAACGGAGGCCCGTGGGCGCTAGAGGAATTCAAGCCTGCCTGCAGAAGCAAGCTGCTGTGACAGGAGCGTCCTGGAGCTGGGATGCGGCGGATCTCTGCCCCTCGGATGGTTTTCTCCAGGCGGCGGCTGCGCTTAGTGTGGGAGTGAGCAACGATCGGCGCCCAAGCTCGGGCTGCTGGGCTAGGGAACAGGCCTTGTCCCAACTCCTTGTGTCGCTCTCCCCACATCTCCGTCATCCGACCAAGCAGCCCAAACTGCCAGCCAAGCAGCAATCCCTCGCCCTTCTCGGAGCGCTACCCCCCTCCTTTCTGTGCGATAACCCTCCAGACGCCGGTGACACAACATTGGCCAGTCAGCCGTTTCCATTCGGGCGCTGATTCGCGAGTCGAGAGCATCCGACGTGGCTGCAGGACTGGGTTTCGGCAAGGGTATAGTGAGCTGGCGCATTGAGGTCAGCTACAGTTCTGTCCTGTTTCTTTCTGTGTCTTTTACATCAGGACTGGTTGTTTGGATTGACGGCGGTTGGTTACTGACTCTCTGTTGCCTCTTTTTAGAGACCTGCGTCAGCGTATCGTCCTCATGGCCGGTGCTAGAAGATGAACTCCCTGAATATCCTGTCTTCACGAGTCATAGGACAGACTTCATCTTCAAATCTTACTCGCAATAGGTCCCATTCGCAAAGCGACGCCTCTCCGGCAAGTCCGCGTGGGGACCTGGCGAAGGCCCGATCGTATAGCGAGCAGCATTTCCGTTTTAACGAGAAAGAGAACGAGCGAGGCGATCACGAAACCGAATCGTCTGAGTTGTTGCATGATGGCACAGCCGAGTTTGATGAAAAGACGCCGCTGCTTCGCGAGTTACAGAAAAATGCCACGGTACCAGCGCCGACCAAGCTGTTCCTGATCGCACAACGACTGTTTGATGCCATTGCCGAGACGATCAAGGTAATTCTATCGACTCTCGCTGCACCCGGCGTGTACGCTTCTCGATATTTCCGAGACGACGATGGGCACTACTCTGCTGTCGCCCCTCTCAGAAAGATACGGCGATCTATGGCAAGTCTGAGTGGCGACGCTGAATCGTCGCGCTCCAACACGCCTGTAACAATGCGCAGCAAACGGGGGAAGGGTGACTCTGAGAAAGTTGGCTCCAGCCGTAGCCGCTCTTCCAAGAAGCTGCGAAATTCGTCCTCTCAAGAGTCCATCGCGTCGTCAACTTCGGAATCGGAGGTTGACCGACAGTTGTTGAAGGTTCCGAGTGCTGGCGGAGTGCGTCATGCCAGGTCCAAATCTCATAACACAGAGCCCTCCACGGATGAGTCCACACCCCGACGATCCATTCGGATAAAGCTTCATAGTGAAGAGACCTTCAAACGGCACAAGAAGCGAACCCAGAGTGCGGATGTTCGCCAGTCTTTGGATGATGACCGGTCGAGCGTTGATGCAACCACTCTTGCAGCGGAAAGTCTGAAATCACCTACGTCTCCATCCTCCCACCGAATTACAAAATACCCTCATGCTCCGGTTCCTCCTCGTCCTTTGATCCCTCCCCGTCAACCCTCCTACACGTGGTCTAGCGGCCGAGGTCCGAACAAGGTCCCCCAAAAGACTCTTGTTCTGGATCTTGATGAAACTCTGATCCATTCGTTGGCCAAAGGTGGCCGTATGTCGAGCGGCCACATGGTTGAGGTCAAGCTTACTACCCCTATGACCGCGTCGGTCGCTCCGGGAGAACCTCCAACAACACTAGGGCCTCAGCATCCGATCCTGTACTATGTCCACAAACGGCCGCACTGCGATGAATTCCTCCGCAAGGTTTGCAAATGGTATAAACTGGTCATCTTCACAGCCAGCGTCCAAGAGTACGCAGACCCAGTCATCGACTGGCTCGAGCAGGAGCGCAAGTTTTTCCAGGCTCGGTATTACCGGCAACACTGCACGTTGCGGAATGGAGCCTTCATCAAAGACCTCAGCTCTGTAGAGCCGGACTTGAGTAAGGTGATGATCCTGGACAACAGTCCGATAAGCTACATATTCCACGAAGGTGGGAGCAAATCCCCTTGTTGGTCTGTTTAGGATATTCTAACTCGTAGCAGACAACGCTATACCGATCAAAGGCTGGATCAGTGATCCCACGGACAATGGGCTGCTCAATCTCATTCCGATGCTGGAGGCTCTGCAGTATGTCACGGATGTCCGGGCGTTCCTAGCGCTCAGGAGAGGAGAAGCGGAGTCGTGAAGTTTTTATGCCATGTAGCTGCCGCGGGTTACTGCGTTGCCAGGTCCGTCACTGGCTGTTCTGTAAAGAGGATTCACGCCCTTCTATAAATGCATAGTGTTATCAATCATACCCAGTATTTGTTGTTTCCCTTCATGGTTTGTTGATTCGTTTCCCTTAATATTTTTTTTCTGTTGCACCGAGTTTATGCTTTCGTAATCCTCTTTTTGTTCTTGTTCTCAAGCATTCGTCTTTTTTCCTTTCCTCTACATCAGTGCAGAGTTTTTTGTTTTCCCCATCGCAAGACTTCTTTACTGGCGTTCTACGGGTTTTTGGTTCTGCAACTTCCGGGTAAGCCCTGGAGGAGTCTCTTCTCAATGCCATCATCATCCATCATCGTTTTTGCTTGCTGCGGTTGAGTCTGTTTGTCAATTAGGTATGGAAGCTCATCTACCTAGGTAGGTACATTGCATAGGTACCTACCTAACCTATTATTCCATTATTATAAAGTGGGCAGTTTCTCTTTTTCTCCAATTCCTCAAGGGCTATTTTTTTGCTCTTTCTGTTCTAGGTACCTAGGTAGGTAGTCCGGTCTGATCCGATCCGATCCAGTCTGGTCTTGGTCTTGATTGGAAGAATGCAAAGTGGAAAAAAAAGGAGAGAAATAGGGGAAACGAGATAGGAAAGAAAAGCTTCCAACGCGGATGCTTCTTCTCGTGCCTTGACTGAGGCTGCATACGGAGTACATAACCCTGATGCGTCTGATCGTGTCGTTTCAAACCGGGAAATTGAAAAACAGCTTCGTATACGTAAAGTCCTGTATAGGAAACTAAGCAGAAGGTGTATACCTTCATGCATATCTACTTACCTGCCTGCCTAAATCAAGACTGGTAATAGATAAAGGGTTATTTACAGATAGATATGCTATTAAATTGTTGGAAAAGATAATAATATGAGTGTATATTTATATTATATTTCAGTTCATGTAGTGTATAATTATATGGCGAAAACTTTTTATTTTTTTTGGCTCGCATTTCTTGCTTTTTTTAATTATTTTGTTGATTGTATGCTTGTGTTGCGTTTGCTCCATCCATCCCATGGTGCATGTGCATCTCTTCCTCTCCTCTACCGATTTAGTAGTATTTTCACCAGTGCCAGTACCTATCTAGTACTGTTCCACCTTAAATCCCCTTTTTTGTCAGAGAAACATATGTATAGAGAAGAAGACGAAGAAAGAATGAATGCCCCGGGAAGTTGCGGTTTTGTATACAGTACATGAATGAGGTATGTCGCTCGTTCATCACAATCCCTTAGCTTGCTTCACCTCAGCGTATGCCTCCTTCAGAGCAGCAATGGCCTTGTCGATGTCATTTCGTCCAGGCTCAGTGACGCTGACGCCCATGTGTCCGAAGCGGATGTACAGCGGCGCAATCTCCTTGTGCAAGCCCGCCGCGAACACGACGCCCCGCTTCAGCAGGGCCGGAAGGATGTCTGGCGCAGTCATGCCTTGCGGCAGACGGATGGCAGTCATGGCGTGGGACTGGTTCTCCGGCTTGGTGGCCAGCTGCGTCAGACCCAGCTCGGCCACTGCAGCCTTGACCTTGTCAGACGTCTTGGCGTGGATCGCGAAGCGCTCTGCCAGAGGCCGCGAGGTGATCTTCGTCAGACTGGTGTGGAGAGCGTGAATGAGCTGCGTGGGCGGCGTGGCGAAGTAGGACGGCTTCCCGGCCTCGTAGTTCTGCATGATCGGCAGCCAGTTGGCAATCGAGGCGTAGTACGACGCGGGAGGCGTCTTGCGCGACTTGAATCGGTCGAGAGCACGGCCGGAGAGCATCAGGATGCTGAGGCCCGGCGGGCAGCCGATGGCCTTCTGGCTCGCGGTCAACACAACGTCCAGGTCCCAGGCGTCGAAGGCGATCTCCTCGCATCCGACGCTGCAGACGCCATCGACGACGACCAGCGTGTCGGGGCTGACGCGGCGGACCAGCTCCGCTATCGCTTTGATGTCACTCAGCACTCCCGTCGAAGTGTCGACGTGCGTGATGGTAATGATCTTGTATGGCTTCTGCTTGAGCGCCTCTTCAATCTCGGCCAGGGAAGGACGCTCCCCAATCGGGGCCTTGAGCTGAGTCGCCCGCACACCGTACGTCTCCAGAGCAGCAGCAAACGAGTCTCCAAAGTAGCCGGTGTGCAGGACCAGGGCGTCCTCTCCCCGCTCGATCAGGTTCGAGGCTACGATATCCCACCCCAGAGTTCCGCTGCCGGAAATCACAAACGGTTGCGCAGTAGGAGAGGTGGTCTGGAAGAGCTTCCGGAGCAGCGTCAGGGTCTCCCCGAAGGTCTTCACAAAGGCTGGGCCGACATGGCTCTCACTGAGGACCTCTCTGATCAGTACACAGTCGAAGGTGAGGGGCAGCGGGAGGACGACTCACGCATAATGAGACATGGACTGCAGGACCGCATCGTCGAATTCGATGGGCCCTGGGATGAGAAGGGTGTTGTGAGGGGCTTGCGACGACATTGTGGCCTTGGTGCTGGGAGACGGGGCGGGGAGTGGGGGGAGAGGGCGCTCAATGGGTTTATATTCGACGTCGTCGGGCTCGACGGACAGTCTCTCGGACGAGAATGGCGTGTTTAGCTCGGGCAGCGGCAGCCGGCTGTCCAAATGCCTGGAGATCAGACTGAGGCGGGGGTTGGCCCGCCTGCGGGATGGTGACGCCAGGGCTGCTTCGGGTCACGGCCTTGTTGGCCGCGGGGTCGATGCAGAATTAATTAGAATTAACTCGATGTCGGACGAGCGATCTCCGTTGCGTCGGGCTCGCCCGCAGGCACGGTGGTCCACGAACCACGTGGATGAAATAGTCCTCCTGTCGTTGTTGAGACAGTAGTGCACGGTGAGCGGAACAGAAGGAGTTCTAGAGCGAGAATTGCCTCCGTATTATAGCTGCTGTCGCCTTCTCTCCCCCTTTCTGCCTTTTTTGTCTTCGGTGGTTGCGGATGCAGGGCGGCAGTCAATCGGCCCTACATCGGAGTCCTGCTGCTGCAGATGCCGCTACCCGCCGAATCTAGATTCCCGCGGGGAATATCAATCGCAAAGACTCGAACAATGCACATACAAACACACTTAATCTACTTGCATTTTGCGGCGTAAATATCTGACAGGTGCCATGACTCATTTGCTACCAGCGCATTCTCCCAATGGCAGCTTCAACCAACAGTCTGCAATGCCCAGAGTGTTGAGCACTGATCTCTTCCTTGTTCAGACTCCATTGTCACTTTGAGTCAGAAGGCAATTACCATGGAGAAGAACGCGCGAATGAGTTTGTATTACCAAAGTGACAGTCATAATAAGTTGATTGTTATCAATGAGGGGAAACAGGGAGAACTTGAGAAGTTCCCAAGATCAAGAAACTAGAGTACGCTAGTCCAGATTCGACCACTAACTAGGGCTTAGGGTCTGGCTGCCAATCGGGGCCGCGTTGCAGCCCGTTGGCCTGAGCAGCTGCAGCTCCGCAGCGACATTCATTTGGAGCAGCTTCCCCCTTCCTCTTTGGCTGCGCTTCTCTGTCAAGTTATTTGGGGAATGGGCCGTTGAACATCAGTGCCGGATTCAGGATGACCTCGCGTCTGGTGCTGGTCATTGGCGACCTCTTCATACCGGATAGGGCTCCAGTACGTGCCCACCCCCGCATGCTGGCCGAGCGCGCAGCATGACGGCTTAGTATAGACAGACCCATACTGACCAGCTCTTCTCTTAGGATCTTCCTGCAAAGGTGCGCATCGGCAATTCCTCCGATATCGCTCGTTCAATGTCATTGACCATGTGATAGTTCAAGAAACTCCTTACTCCGGGAAAGATCGGTCAGATTCTATGTTTAGGCAACCTCACAGACCGTAACACCTTCGAGTTTCTGCGGTCGATCGCCCCCGACCTGCAGATGGTGAAGGGTGACTTCGACGTCGACTCGCCCGGCCTTCCTCTCTCCAAAGTTGTCACCCATGGCAGTCTCCGCATCGGCTTCACCCATGGCCACACCATCATTCCCCCGGGCGACGCTGATGCGTTGCTCATCGCGGCTCGTCAGATGGATGTAGATATCCTGCTTTGGGGAGGAACACATCGCTTTGAGGCCTTTGAGATGGAAGGCCGTTTTTTCGTCAACCCGGGAAGTGCTACTGGGGCCTTCAGCACCGGGTATTGGCCCGAAGGGGAGGAACCAATTCCCAGCTTCTGCTTGATGGATGTAAGTGCTATCGCGGTCATCCTCCTTGTCTACTTCTTTTACTAATTCCAAAAGGTCCAAGGAGATGTGCTGGTGCTCTATGTCTACCAGCTCAAGACCGACGCAAATGGAGCAGAGACGGTAGCAGTCGAGAAAGTGTCGTTCCGCAAGCAAGGCGTCACGACGTCATGACCTAGTTTGTTTATGTCCTTTTGTACATACATACCCTACGGAAGTACGTTTTATGATATCAGCAAGAGTTCTTTACTTCACGAGAATCATCCGGGAAACTCATGGTTTGGGGAACACCTGCTCCAAAGCTTCAGCGTCATCCCAACAGCCTTGAGGGAATACAGTCAGTATGCGGATATCGGAGCGACTGATAGACTGCCTAGTCTGCATCTCAGTTTGTTCTCTTCGACCATAGTCCCGCGGAAATCTGAACCTCCAAAGCGCTTAGTGTTCGTCTATTTTCTTTCGCATTTGGATCTTCGTTATCTTCTCATTCTCCAATTCTGCAACTAGATTCAATCCGCGTAAGGATTGCACATTGATTTCTATAGGCGATTCTTTATTTGATTGTAGACATGATCTTAATTCCTATGGACGTACAACTCAGTAACTTCATTGAGTGGCGGAATAGCAACCGGGAAATTATTTCACTCCCCAATTGTACCTAGGTAGATTCTGGAATTGCTCAAGTATCATCAATCGATGTCGTGATGACTACGTTGATAATGGCATTTGGATCGCATGGTCTGTAACCTGCTTTGCGATACTCCGTAGGTGGCGAGTCACTAAGCCAGAAACAGCAGCGAGACTTCGGCTTCACATCATGGCGCTTGGCATCGGCTCTCCGTCAACTTGTCTGACTCCCATTCCGCCTTGCGCATCTTACGTCTTTGTCGAGGTCTCTAATCCCCTTGCTGTGTGAATAAGCGTCTTTGACTTACACTTTTCTTTGTGGTGGGAGGAGTACAGTCGAGGTCGGATCGGCTGTAGTTTATCGAAAAGAGGCCGACCCGCCCCTCTTTTTCTTGCCTCTCGCCGGGCGATTTTTGGGACATTGCAATCTTCTCTTTTCACATAGTCGAGCCCAAACCCATATTCGCACGCTCTCACCATGTCTACGCAAGGGACTGAGATCAAGGCGGAGACTGGGATCAAGGAGGAGACTGGGGTCAAGGAGGAGCCAGAGTTCAAGAAGGAGACTGAGTTTAAGGAAGAGACTGAGTTCAAGGAGGATACTGAGATGAAGGAGGGCATGAACGCTTATGAGGACGGTGGTGACGATGAGGTATGTCAAGCTTTTCTAGATCTGCAGCCGGAGCCTTTAGCTCTCCGCTATCTACGGTGAACATCTTTCCCGTCCGATAGTCGTTCACCAAGCACATTTATCGTTGCTAACTGAGATGGTGTACTTCAGGAGGAAATCGCTGAGATGAAGAAGCGGGTCGCGCAGATGGAGCACGAGGCCCAGAAACTGCGCGAGATGCAAGCCAGCATTGAGCAGGAGTCGGAAAATTTGAAACGAGAAGATAGGGAGGAAATCGATGCCCGGAGCGTTTTCGTCGGAAACGTGGATTACGGTGCCTCTCCTGAAGAGATCCAGGCTCATTTCCAGAGCTGCGGTTCGATAAACCGCGTTACCATCCTGCTTGACAAGTACACGGGGCATCCTAAAGGGTTGGTTGCACCTCGGTCCTTTCGTTTTTTGCTACTTGGAGCATCCATCACCAGAAATCTCTTGCTAGAGATGTGATCGCTGATTGATCGTTTTCTGCAGATACGCCTATGTTGAGTTCGCCGAACCCAGCCTTGTCGCGCAGGCCCTCGTTCTGAACGAAAGCATCTTTCGCGGTAGGAGTTTGAAGGTAACGATGATCGTTTTCCTGGTTCTTCATTCCTCTATGTGCTCGTGTCGTTCAAGCTACTAATGCGCTTATTGCTGAGTAGGTGGTCCCAAAGCGCACGAACATACCTGGCATGAGCAGCCGCGGTCGGGGACGAGGAGGCTTCCGGGGTCGAGGCTACGGCCGTGGTGGTTTCGCGCCTCGTGGAACCTACCGTGGAGGCTATCGCGGTCGGGGTCGAGGCTATGCCCCGTACTAGATATGCGTCTCTCCGTGCGAAATCGTCGACTTTGTCCGCGCTGGGTGAAGGCTGAAGGCGATGTTATTGTGGGTTTTGAACAGATGCAGAACAAGCGTACTTGTAATTTGTGTCCTTTCCAGGCTGAGTCTTTCGGAGTTGAGGCTAGGGCTGTATGATAATCACCGAGATCGCAGGCTGGGATAAAATGGGCGGATGACAGGGAATTTCTTTGTGATATCCTTATTATTACTGTTGGAACAGCGTCTGTTGGATATGAACAGTTATTCTCTTGTTTGTCTCTCTCCCATTCCTTTCTTCCTTTTTCTTATCGTAGCCAGTATCGTGGTAGGTAATTGAGTTGCCGCAGCTTTTAAGATAGTGGATGATACCTGCGCTCTACGGCGGACCTCAGGTGGCAGCAGGCGCCCAGGCGGCAACGCCCAAGTGAGGCTCAGCCACGCTATTGCGTCGTCGCGTATCGGGCTCACCCGGACCTCGACCGTGCAGGTCCTTTCATCAAAAGCCATTGTCGGCAGGAGAACTGAGCCGCTCCCTATTGTCGTCTCCAAACTGTGCAGCGTTGTTCCTTCAGTCGAGCTCCTCCGGTGGGCACGCGGGGTCTTGCTTTCGTGGGTGTGATTCATAGACCGCCCAAGAAAAGTAAGCGGAGCGCCTGAACAGCGTTTGGGAGGGGAACCGAATGGGCGTCTAGCCCTCAACTCTGCCACCTCCCTGGGCTTTTCGCCTGGCACCGTCGCAACCACCTTTCTGCCCTCCCGAAGATTCCTTATCCTGACGTCCGTTGCCACGACAGACTGGCGAGCAGGACGCTGGGCCCGCCGGCTGGAGACAGGCAGGCTTGGATTGTCTGAACGGGTTTGGTTTGGCTGCCCTCTGGAGCCAGCCCCTCCGCCTTGGTCATTGGCCAAGAGCGTCACGTCAAACTGCTCAGCCCCAATAATCCCTGGACCGGTCCAGCACAGCATATCGCTCGCCTTCGACCGATCTCTCCAAGCCATATCGTATCGTCCCTACTCTTTCCACCGCTCTTGAGCCTCTCCGTCACTTCCTCGGGTTCAGTGGATGCGTTAGGCTTGTTCGACTGCCCTTGATAGCCGTGACGGTCACATCCGTTGCCCGCAGGGCGTCGTCTACCCAGAATGGGTTCGAATTTGCCTGCGTAAGTCCTGCCGCTGCCGCATTCATTCGAGTCCCCCCAAACGCCGTCGTTCTCCGTCATGAACAGGGGCTGACTGACAATTCATGACCTACAGGCAGCCGAATCTCAGGCTCACAAGTGAGCATTCCTTCCTCTCTCCGTCGGAGAAACACGGACAAGACTAACACTCGGTGCAGTTATCGCAGCGGACGGACTGTACAAGCGCGATGTGTTCCGTACGTCTCCAGATTGGCGTTCAACAGCTTGGGGGAAGGCAAACTGACATGTCATGATCCTTGCTAGGATTTCCGGATCCGTTCGCTGTTGCCACGATTGGCGGCGAGCAGACTCACACGACCTCGGTGATTAGGAGGACATTGAATCCATATTGGAACGAGGCTTTCGATCTGTATGTCCACCGATCATCGTGTCCCTATCCCCGTCATTTTCTCGCTCGTTCTGACCGTTGCCACCGTTGTGTGATTACAGGAAAGTCAATGAAGACAGCATTCTCGCGATTCAGATCTTTGACCAGAAGAAGTTCAAGAAGAAGGATCAGGGCTTTCTAGGAGTCATCAATGTCCGCATTGGGGATGTGATTGATCTCCAGATGGGGGGTGATGGTAAGAAACTTCTTCAAACTGTCTCTTGTACTACTACTCGGGGACTTTCGACTGACACCGTATCATAGAAATGCTCACGCGAGATCTGAAGAAGTCAAACGACAATCTGGTTGTGCACGGAAAACTGATCATCAACCTCTCCACAAATCTCAGCACCCCCCTTCCTTCGCAAAATGGTCTACACCGGCCTCAACCTCAACCAGGACTTGTTCCGCAGGTTCAAGCGCCGCAAACTCAACAAGGCTCAAGCCATGCCGAATCTTCTTCCGCAGCGAACTCGAACACGGCTCTGGCCCCCTCTCGAGCTCAGTCGTCAACTAGACCAACGCCACCTAATGGTGCTGCGCAGACGCAGCCTAATGGCCATGGACACACTACCCACAGCTCTCGAACCCTCAGTTCCTTTGAAGACAGTCTGGGCAGACTTCCGGCAGGCTGGGAGCGACGCGAAGACAACTTGGGAAGAACATACTACGTTGATCACAATACGAGAACAACAACCTGGACGAGGCCCTCTTCGAATTACAATGAACATGCACAACGCTCACAACGAGAGGCCAACATGCAGATGGAGCGAAGGGCTCATCAGAGCCGAACGCTGCCGGAAGATCGCACCGGTGCAAGTTCGCCAAACCCGACGGAGTCCCACCAAGCACATACACCCAGCGGTAGTACCAACAACGTCAATGCAGTGTCCATGATGGCCACAGGGGCGACAACGGCGGGCACCGGTGAGCTCCCTCCTGGATGGGAACAGCGGACAACGCCGGAGGGACGGCCGTACTTCGTCGATCACAACACGCGCACCACTACCTGGGTCGATCCCCGTCGACAGCAATATATCCGGATGTACGGCCAAAATGCGAACGGGAGCAACACAACGATTCAACAGCAACCCGTATCACAGTTGGGTCCTTTGCCCAGCGGGTGGGAAATGAGATTGACGAACACGGCTCGAGTGTACTTCGTGGACCACAACACGAAGACCACGACGTGGGATGACCCACGGTTGCCATCGTCCTTGGATCAAGGCGTTCCACAATACAAGCGTGACTTCCGACGCAAGCTGATCTACTTCCGATCGCAACCAGCCTTGAGGATCATGTCCGGCCAATGTCACATCAAAGTGCGCCGGAACAACATCTTTGAGGATTCTTACGCGGAGATTATGCGTCAGAGCGCGTCGGATCTCAAGAAGCGACTAATGATCAAGTTTGATGGCGAAGATGGTCTGGATTATGGTGGACTTTCAAGGTATGAACCTTCCTCTCTTCGATATTCTTTCTCCCGTATGGTGTTGCTAATTCTCTCAACAGAGAGTTCTTCTTCCTTCTTTCTCACGAGATGTTCAATCCCTTTTACTGCCTTTTCGAATACTCCGCCCACGATAATTACACCTTACAAATCAATCCACATTCCGGTATTAATCCTGAACATTTGAACTACTTCCGATTCATCGGCCGGGTCGTTGGTTTGGCCATCTTCCATCGTCGATTCCTGGACTCGTTCTTCATTGGAGCGTTCTATAAGATGATGCTGCGGAAGAAGGTGACCCTTCAAGATATGGAAGGCGTCGACGAAGATTTCCACCGCAATTTGACCTGGACTCTGTAAGCCAGCCCGCACCTGATTTCCAGCTTGCAAAAAAATGATACTGACAACCTACAGAGAGAACGATATTGATGGCGTTGTGGAGCTTACATTTTCCGTTGATGACGAAAAATTCGGAGAACGTCGCACGATTGACTTGATACCCGACGGGCGAAATATTCCCGTCACTAATGAAAACAAGCACAAATATGTTGAGTACGTATTGCTTTGGTCTTCTCTGTCGGGTCTTGTCTAACCCGTCGACAGGTTGGTTACAGAGTGGAAGATTCAGAAGCGTGTGGAAGAGCAATTCAATGCATTCATCTCCGGCTTCAACGAACTCATTCCCCAGGACTTGGTGAATGTGTTCGACGAGCGGGAGCTGGAATTGTTGATTGGCGGTATTGCGGACATCGATGTGGATGATTGGAAGAAGCACACCGACTACCGCGGGTACACAGAATCGGACGAGGTGATTCAGAACTTCTGGAAGATCATCCGCAGCTGGGATGCAGAGCAGAAGTCTCGTCTGCTGCAGTTTGCGACGGGCACGTCTCGTATCCCAGTCAACGGGTTCAAGGATCTGCAGGGATCTGATGGGCCTCGACGATTCACGATTGAGAAGGCGGGAGATATAAATGCACTGCCGAAGTCGCATACATGGTATGTTTCTTGCGATTCTCTTTCTTTATGGCATGGCTGACAATTTCTAGCTTTAACCGCCTTGACCTACCTCCATACAAAACCTATGAGACGCTGCAGCAGAAACTGACCATAGCCGTCGAGGAGACCTTAGGTTTTGGTCAGGAGTAAAGGTCATGGTTAGGTGGAAGTGGAGGTTGTATTGTCGAGAGAAAGAGGAGTGCAATTAGAGCACCATGATATGCAGTTGGTGACAGCCAGCGCACATTCCAACTCCTTCCATCCGTCACTCGTCTTCACATAGTGGGTTTGTTCGAATCTCTCGGTCTGCGTTATTGCATTGGCTTTGAATTCTGCTTCTTTTTTCTTTCTCTCTCTCGCTTTATTCTTTTGGGAATGGGATCAGCCTCCTAGTTTTTTTTTCTGTCTGTCAAGGAAGGAAGGAAATATGTGTTTTCTTTTGCTGCTGGATACCGTGTGTCTTTTTTTTCTCTTTTTTCTTCTGATCATATGTTTTATCTGTTCTTATTGTCTCGTCTGCCACTTTCACTTGCCGGTATCGTATCGTTCGACCGTCTGATGGTATGGGAAACCTGCACTCCTTCCTTTCTGTTGCTGTATATTCGTGAGTGTTTGTGTACAATTTTCAACGATGGAAGAGCCAGCATTTACTGATTTCATCTCTTCTCCTAAGGTTATTTATTAACAGGTACAGATAACAACAAAGCAGGCAGTTAAGTTCTATCCGTGTGTACTGAGTATTTGTTCAACTGTCTAGTAATGTACTCTGGCTCATATATACTACCTAATATCTTCTAGAAGTTAGGTAAACCTTATGGATAATTCTACTTGATTATATCCAGGTACCTCCTTACCTTAGGTAGGTAGTTTGCTCACTTGTTAATGTCAGATTAGAAAAAAAAGAATGAAAGACTTTGAGGGTTTACATAGTTAATAAATAGACTGGAATAATCAATGTTGGATTTAATTAGATTATGAATTATTATTATATTCTTGCCTTTCTTTTTGCTTTTCATTTATAGCAGGATGGAATAGAAATGAAAGAACCCAATCCATCCCCTCCTCTTCATTCATTCCACATTATTTGCCCTATTCCAAATCATACCCGACTCAATCCCGACTCCCCGGGTAGCTTATTATTTTCCAATTTACAGCGCAGCACCCAGCGCAAGAGCAACAGCACCGACGAGCGTACCAGCCTGAACAGACAGAGCACCCGGTGCGGCACCGGTCGAGCTGGAGCCGGACTTGGAGGAGCTCGTCGAGGTCGGGCTGCTCGAGGATTCGCCCTTGCCGGTGGAAGACGCGGTGGAGGACNCGTTGGACGAGGACGAGGTAGGCGTGGGCGTGCTGCTACCGCTGCTGGCGCTGCTGCTGGGGCTGTTGGCCTTGGCGGCGTTGCAGTAGGAGGTCTTGGACTGTTCGGCGCCGAAGCGGTTGGGGTCGTTGGGGCAGTTGTTGTAGCAGCTGCAGATAGGTAGGTAAGCAAATGATCTGGATCGTAGAATATGATCTAGTGAGAGGGTCTAGGGGTTCAACTCACGTCAGGACGTTGTTGCTCTGCTCGCAGAGACAGTTCCAGTCGTTGGCTGCGCAGGCCTTCAGCTGCGGCGTCGTAGAGGCGAGACAGGCGTCGAGGATGCTGTAAACAAGAAAAATAAAGTGATCAGCATATGCATATAGACATGTCTATACGTCAGATTCGTTTTCTTTTTTTTTTTACTTACTTCTGAGCCTGGCAGCTAGACGACGACGAGGACGACGAGCCGGTGGCAGCACCAGGGCTGGCAGCACTGCTTGGAGTGCCATTGTCCTGGGCGGCGACAAAGCCGACGCTGACGGTGAGGAGGGTCGCGAGGGTAGTGGCGAAGCGCATTTTGCTAGCTATTAATTGAGTCGAATTGATCGAGTCAAGGACTCAGAAAGGAGTCAATTAATATCTAGCTCGAGGAAGGGAGGGAGAGAGATGAGGGATTAGACGATGAAGATAGCAATGGGGAGAAGAATAGGAGGAGAGAACGCAGGAATGCGAGAGGAGAGAGAGCTTGTTTTTATTTATCCCACCAGAGCCCCGATTGACATAGACAGGCCTACCCAAGTAGGTAGAGATCTAACCCCGACTTGCAATGCTATGATGTATGTATGCATGCTATGCATGCGCGGTATTTTCAGCCATGTAATACGTATTATTAATTAATACCTGTCACGAAGGAAGGGAAAGCCACACCAATTCGCCAAGGGATTGGATTACTCCGTACTTGACATGCATGCCAGGCGGATCTTATGTTTATCTTATTGTTTTTGTTTTGCTTCAATGGAGTTGTGTATGGAGTATCTGCGTGGTTGATGATGACAACAGCCGTCATGTTTGGAATGTAACTATACAATACGCTACCTACACTACTGAGTACTATTAGTTCAATCCAATCCGGGGAAGAAGCAACAGGACAGGACGATGTGCCAGTCAATGCCAATTGCAGCATCAGAGCTGTCATTCATTTTATTTCAATCTAGTTACTCCGTAGACTGATCACATACATGTTCCCTTGCTTGCTCTATACGTTTCTACACTGGGTTGGAGGAGAAAGGAGTTCTGAATCCCTCTCCTCGCTTGCTGGGGCCAGAATCCGGGGAAGGGTTCAAGCGTCTACGGTAATTAGTGTGTTAGTTCTAGTTGGTTCTTAACGCCACAGAGCATTAGTATTAGCTAGGTTTCACACCGGCTCCTCGCGGCGGCAGCCCCTGGAACCGTTCCTCAGCTTCAACTCAGGATGCCCTCCCCATCAATCGACGTCATGCGGAGTACAGAGTTTCAGAAAATGTCGTCATGATGGCAATGGCAACTGCAGGACAGCATCTCTTTGCATCATAAGATAATAATGCCTACTTACCTGCCTCCCTGTATGTACCTCCCTAAGTACTCCGTATAACCGTCCACTAAGTCGGGAATGAGGATTAGTTGTCATGTGATGTAACCATTTTGAGTTAGGCGCCGCACTGACTGCCTGCCAGGGAATAAATAAAATTTGGCTACGCCTAATTCCGCAGGCTAAACCTAAATAGGCACTGCCGCTATGCCTGCAACCTTTCTGCTACATCAGAATGGGTGCTAAAGCTCTCTACCTATGCTGTAGTTCTTCACTTTACCAAATTTCCTTCCTGTCACTTCATAGCTCTTTTTCCTTCTCAATTTGCTCCTCTTCCGATCTTAGAGGCAGAAGATCTGTTCTTTTATTTGACTCGGCTGCTTTTGGTTGACTGGGCTATATCATCTCAGAGACTCAGACAGCCATGTCACCTGATCTGACGAAGCATGTCTTGACGTGCCAAAGCTCACCAAGCACTAGCCTACACAGCGTCTGTCAAAGTCGCTACAGTCCGGAACATGCAATTTCCGTCCATGCTCAAAGAGCTTGAAGCTGGCATCCAGTTTTTCAGTTACTATCGCAAATTCGTGCACCACTTCGCTGCCACCCACCGACTCGAGACCTTTCGTTTTCGTCATGCATGATTTCGACGACAAAAGCTGTCGGAATACGGGATATGCTTTAGAATGAGGGAGTGACCTCCGGATCCAAGCGAAGCGGATGATACAAGTCCGGTTATTGTTGCTCTCCATCTAGATGGTATCTAATAGGCCTAGATATCATACAGTCTCCAGCCTGACGTCCCGGAAACACTGCTGCCCAAGTGACTAGTCGCTCAACGAGAACGGAGCCGTCCAAGCGGTATCACATAGGTAGTACCTACTACGCCATGCTGGCGGCCTGTTTTCGACTGCGACGCTCTCAGAATTGCTGAAGGGACCAGCAAAGCTACCTCAGGATGCTGGTTCAGACACATCACGGCGGTATACAAAGATGGTATCTGATATTGTTGCCGAGATGTATCGCCTCTGTCTCCCTGTCAACACTCACGATCATGCCTCCGCACTTATATTTACAAATCCTTTGATATGGAGAAGTTCTGGCGGCGAACTGGTTATGAGGTGTACCAGTATCGGAGCAACTATGAGAGGCAGATTGGAAAATTTCGAAGGCCGAGCTCAAATTATTGCAGATGCCAACAGTGCGGACAAACGTCAAGCAGCGCAAATTCACCAAGAAGACGCTGCACTCCAAAGGCTCCCAGCGTCGGATCCCCACCCTAAACAAAATCGAAAGAAGTGTGATGCTGATTCATAGATGGCAATGATCCCGACATCATTGCTTGGATCAAAGATACCCGGGACTGCTGGACACTGACTTCCATAAAGCAACTGCAGGTGCAGGCTATGGAGGAACAATACAGGTCCTCAATTCACGCTCAAACCTTAGATTTCTAGTCCGAGAGTTCCAGTATCCAAACTTTGACTTAGGACATGATTGATATCTGGCCGACATTTCTTGAATTCTGTAGGATCAACTACAATGCGCCAACTGAGGAATTTGAGGTCATAATAATCCCAACCTTCATCCACGACATCTGCTCAGCCTGGCTTATGAAAGAGGTCCGCTTAATGGAGAGGGCACAATTTCTCACTATTGCAGAGTCTGATGCTATCATTAGCATGCGCGGAAGAAGTATGTTTGTTTCTTAATCTGATGCTCTCTCTATCTCCTTTTCTCTTGTTCTTTTAACCCTTATCATCCTCTACTGGCACACACACTTACTAGAACAGTCTTCAACAACACCATATACTGGGTCTCAAAAACAACCAGACACATATATCCTTCCAATCTCTCAGACCTTCCCCATCTTCGTACACTCAGCGGGATGGAGTGAGTCGCAAGCAAGACAGGAACGCGACGGACCTCGGTCTCGCTGGAAATCCGAAATGTTTACAGATCGAAGTAAGCTATTAACAATACAAATTATAATAAAAGCTGACAGTCTCTGCTTAAGCCAATCTATCCGACGCCCTCTCTCCCCGCCAATTGCTGCAAACCAGACCCATAACGATTAATCGACAACAGCTAGCTCATGGGCACAAGCCTGCCTACCACAAGCAACCCACTCGATACCTTCGACTTTCGCATTGACAATCTCGTCAGGCAGGTTGCCGCACCTCTGATCACGCGGGAAGGATACACGCCGGCTTGATTCATGGGAGGATCCTCTGTGAAATCTTTCGGAGCATGCATTGTTCGAAAAGCTTCATGCTTTTAGCAATAATAAGAGACGAAGCGGACGCGGAAACTGACACCGAAAAAGGCGGCGTTTCCCCCCGACTTACAGCCTAGAGGTATTAACAGTTATTTATGTTCTCATACTCCGTACGAGAGGTGCGAATAATAGCCTCACAAGTTACCTATGTAATCTGCCAACGGAACTATTTAATTCTCTGCTTTAAAGTAATCTTGTCAAACCTCATGTCGTTCCTTCTTCATTCCATGGTTCATCTCAGTCATAGCATCTTGTATCCCACGGTACGCGTGCTTTAGCCGTTCCCTGAAAATTGTGACAGTATTATTTTGACCAGACTTTATATTTATCAAATTAGATGACACCCATTCAATGCCACCGCCCTCTGAACATCTCTCGAGCTTTGTCGGCAGACACTGCAGAACCCACCCAGCTGGGTTTGACGTAGACAACTGAGGTGTAAACAAACAATCACCATTCTGAACCTTCTTCCTCCGGAAAGCTTTCGTACGTGCGTAGGGCCTGCTCGCAGTATTTCAGGAAGCCCATCCAGTTCTGAACGTGCTGGACTCAGACAAGCCTGATGTCTAGACGGCTTGCACTCACCAGGCTTGGATGTTCAGAGTAACGTATATATGCTAGGCCAAGTCCAGTCAGTTCCCGAAGGCCTGGGCTTTGGATGACGTCGAGCTTTCGCGTGAATAGGATCTCGGCTTGGTATAGCTCTCACAATTTGCAGAGCACCGCGATCGCAATTCGATGCGCTGAAAGGAACAACTCCTTCTGGGCGAGGCCTTGTCCAAGCTTCAGAGTTTTGATGTAGTTTGAGGCCTTGGAAAGACAGACCTCCGACAAGAGCATTGAGCTTCTTGTAGAGGAATTTCTCATTAGTAAGATACATCATCCCATCTACCTTTGATGGAAGAGTTGATGCAGGCTGCTCTGCCTCACCTTCAGCATCATTCCAGATGTCGATCGGACGCTTGTAGCAAAATCTCCCGGGCCCGCTCAATGACTCGAGTCTTCCAAATCATATTGGAGAATCTGGAGCTAGCGAGTATGGATACCATCACGTGTTCGAGTTTGATGAAAACTCTCCCGGCGACTTCAAATGAGTTGAAGTGTTGGAGAACATGTCGGATCTGAAGGACCTGTGCTCGTTCAATGTCACCGAATCTGTCACAAGAATGAATATCTTGATTTGAATACAGATGATCATGTCGTGGAAAGGCATAGCACAAGGATTACTAGTAGCTTGCAGCATCCAGCAACTTGGGTCCAACATACTCCGCTGGTACATGGCCTGAGGCCATGGATGCATTTTCAAATGTTGTCCACGATCAGAAGTGACAAGACCTGGAATTGAACTGTTCAATCGCCCATGGTAACCGACCAGTTGCAAGCTCAACGAATTCGATGTATTCAGACAGATGAGAGGCCAGTTGTCCTTCAAAAGGTGCCATCAGTTGAACAGAAAGCGCAACTAGATCGATGACAATATCTGTTCTTGCCTAGTATATATGTACAGCCGTAACGTGCTGATTTGCTCTTGCTTTATTGGGAAGGAAGCATGGCATTGATGTACCCACCGGAGGCCACGGATTTCCAATTGCTCCCCGCCATTGGAACGTCTCGCTTTCCTATTTTTGGAGACTGTTTTTCTGCCAGGATTCTTGCCCTTTCTTTCCCCGCACCGGAGAAATTACTAAATACTATCCACAGCCTTGCAGTAACAAGAGCTCATCAATAATTGATACGAACTCACGTTGTAGGTAGACCCGTCCCTCATATGATTTTGTTCGCAATTTTAATAATAGGGTGGTAGGATCTGGACTTGCCTCATCGAACAAAACTGTCAGTTTTGCCCGCTACCAGGTCTATACTGAATATCTCTTGAGGGAAGAATAACTACAGAGAAAGTTCTCTGATCAGAAAAAGACCTCCGTTTTCAACCAAGCGGGACATTATTCTTGGTGCTGATTTTCAATCTCTGGCCACCATTCGTCAAATTACTCAGTTCTCCCGCAGAGGCGAGGAATTGGTTCCACAAGACAACACATAGTGCATACGTCTACATACATATCGATTAGAACGTCACAATGGCAGAAGTCTCTTTTCCTTCCACCATCACCGTCTCCCTCCCCGACCTCGCCAAGATGATCGACCATTCCCTCCTCCATCCAACCATGACTGACGCCGACGTCCTCGCCGGCCTGGAAATCAGCAAGCAGTATGACGTCGCTACCGCGTGCGTGAAGCCGTACCACGTCTCGCTGGCCCGGGAGCAGCTGGCGGGGACGTCCGTCGGCGTGTGCCCTGTCATCGGGTTCCCGCACGGCAACTCGACGACGAACATCAAGGTGCTCGAGGCGCGCGAGGCGGCACGGGCGGGCGGCGCCGAGATCGACATGGTCGTCAACATCGGCAAAGTCCTGTCGGGGGAGTGGGAGTACGTGAGGGATGAAATCAAGGCGATCAACGACGCCGTCACGGCCGAGGGGGCCATACTGAAGGTCATCTTCGAGAACGACTACCTGCAAGACGAGCATATCGTCAAGCTCTGCCAGATCTGTTCTGACGTGGGCGTCGCCTTCGTCAAGACCTCGACGGGCTACGGCTTCGTCAAGCAGCCCACGGGCGACTACAACTACAAGGGCGCCACTCTGCCGCATCTGGCGCTGATGCGCAAGTCTTGCTCTCCGAATGTGCAGATCAAGGCGGCCGGTGGCGTGAGGACGTTGGACGACTTGCTACGGGTCCGGGCACTGGGTGTGTCCCGTGTCGGGGCGACAGCTACGGTCGCCATCCTGGAAGAGGCCAAGAGACGGGGGATCGGCCAGGAGAGGGTGGAAGTGCAGGTTCCGTGACTGCATGATATACGGAGTGTATGATTGTCGATAATAATGAACAGAACTGAACTGAATAAAATAGAAATACATGACACAGATTCCAGTACTCGACGTATCAAGACTAGTTGAGTAGAATACAAGACCGCCCGAAAGCCCTGTATAGTACAGATCTCTCTCTTTTTTAAAGAAAAAAATATTTCTCACTCATCGCCCCTCCCTTCTTTTCCTTCTTCTTCTCCTTCTTCTTCATCTTCTCCTCCTTCTTCCTCTCCTCTTTCTTCTTCTTCCCCAGTTTTGCCCTCTTTATCTTCTTCTTCTTCCCCCGGATACGTGCCCTCTTCATCTCTCCTCTTCCGCTTCTTCCCCCTGGGCTTCGCTTCCTCTTCTTTGTTGGTCTCTTCTGCCGCCGCCGCCTGTTCTTCTTCTCGCTCTTTGTCTTGTTTCAGAATCTCGGCTGCGCCGGGGAAACCTGACACGTCGAGGTGTCTGAGCACGTAGGCGACTTTTTCAATGTCGGCGGTTGAGAAGATGCGGCCGTCGTCGTCGACGTCGTCGTCATCACCGTCTTTCTTCTTCTTCTTGCCGTCGGCAGCTTTGCTGTTTTCAACTGCGCTGTTAAGACGCGCTCTTAGCTGGAAAACAGCTTCCCAGAGGTCTCGATACTCTTTCAGATTGTACTTGACGGCAAGCTCGCCGTTGGCTCGGATGTATTTTTCGATTTTCTTCTTGCTCTTGTTGGCTGACAGCGGGTAGATGTCCAGACAGAGCCAGAGGTACACCTCGTCGCTGAAGAAGGGGACCTCGTTCTTCGTTCCGGTGGTAGCCGCTGCAAGGATGAGGGATGCGGTCGCGGGCCCGACCGCGCGCAGCGGTCCGGTGAGGGTGTCCAAGCTTTCTTTGGGGAAGGATGAGGCAGATGATGTGTCGTCGAAGAAGAAAAGAGAAGACCCCGCCGCATCAGCAGCAGGAGCAGCAGCAGCAGGCGCCTCTGCTGGCGCTGATGACGAACCCGCGCTCGGGAGGGCTGCGAACGCCGCAGCGGTAGTTTTGCGAACTTGGGGAGCTTTGTTGGTCTTGACCAGGCCTTCAAGGGCAGGTCGATAGACGCCGTGTTTGCTGTTTTGCATGTCAGCAAAGATAAAAAAATCGCCGCAAGATGAAAGTTAGAAATACGTACAGCTTCCACTCCATCAACCGCACCAGTTCATCCTTCTCCAGATAGAGGCCCGTGGGACCCTCTTTTTTGGCCTTTGCATTCTCATTTTCACTTTGTCCTTTTTCATTCTCCTTTTCCTTCTCCTTCTCCTTCTCTTTCATCAAACTCGCACGCTTCCTCAAAACCTCAGGCAACCTCTCATAGCGCCAGTTATCCAGCTTCACAAACGCCTCCGTGTCCTTGTTAAGCTTCGCTTCAGGGAGTGGCAATTGAGACGAGGCAGCAGCAACCGCAGCCGCAGCAGCAGAAGCAGAATCTTTCTTCTTCTCAGCCGCAGCAGCAGCCTTCCTCTCGCTCTTACTCAGCTGATTGTCTCTCTTTTTCGCCGCTTTGGCGATGGCTTTTTGTCTGAAGGCCTCCCTGGCTGTGGTAGGGTAACAGGCCAGCAGACGGGAGAAGGTTGACCGGGAGATCTCCGAGGGGGCGAATGATGGTAGTTCCATCTTCTTTTTGCCCTCTTTTCTTTTTTGTAATACTGTCTTTCCAGGCTATATGTATGCCGGTATGCCGGAGAGAGAGGTATGTTTGTATGTCTTTACACCCTCTGGGGCAGAGAAGAAGAAGAAAACACAGACATGCAGCAGCGGCAGTAGTAGCAACAGCAGCTTTCAATCAAACAGACAAAAATGGACTGCGCCAGATGAATTGACAACAAAAAAAAAGGACAGTAAAAAAAAAGTGCTCGAATTGAAAGAAAGAAACAAAGAACAACAATCCAGTCCAAAAAGAAAAAAAAAGAAAAGAGTCGTGCCGATGACGCGCGCTCTAAAAAACCGACACAAATCAAAAGCTTTTCTCACTCTATTCAACTTAGAAATTAAGAATTATTATCAAAGTCCAGTCTCACTGATTGCTGCATTGGCCATAAGTTTGACTTGATATCAAAGCATGTCGTTACTCCGGCTTTGCCAAGACAGCAGACTAGGTACCTACCTACCTCCTTACAACTCGTACAGACTGGATCCGATACTAGGTAGACATCTGACATTATTGCTACTCAATTACTTGGTATTAATTAAATTAAATTCAACAAAATCTCTCTTCTGAATTGACATGCGAATGTCTGCATTCTGCTTCTACTAACTAGTTCGTTATCGATAGTGCACAACAGGAGTATCATGAACGGGTAAAGAAAATTAGAAAGTGTATATCGGGTGTTGAAGCATAGCATCAGGCGTCAGACATGCGATGCGCAAAAAGTAAAGAAAGAGAAAAAAATATAGAGGAAGTCAAAGCTCAGCCCAGCTTGAGCGAAATCCATAGTCCCACGAAGAAATCTCATTCCGCACATCAAACTGAACCGAACCGAACCGAACCCAGACCCGCTCCCAGTGACAACAACGCAAAGTGTATCCGAAAGGGAAGAACAATAACACAGGGAATAAGAAAAGGAGAAGAGAGGTAACAGATTACAAAAGACACGGGTGCCCTCCACCCCTCTAGATCCCACTCTCACACGGAAACTGAAAGGACATCAACATACTGAAAGGGAACAGAAATATAGTGTTTCTTATCGATGCTGTTTCCGGCCTGCATCCTTCTTTTTGGTTGGAGATGCATTCGGGCTCACGAAACTAACCCGGCGCCCATCTTTGCCACGGTTCAGCGACACAAGCCCGCTGCCGAGCATGCGATCCTTCTTCCTGCCACCCCGTCTCAGAGGTTTCGACAGTGAGGTCGCATGTGATTTGGCCGGACTGGCCAGTTCATGATCCGTCTTGGTCTCCGTCGTTGTCGACGTTGCTGTGCCTTCATCGTCCTCCACTTCGATATGTTCGAAGTCTTGGTCGTCATCCCCTGCTTCCGACGAGCTGGGACTGGGACTCTCAGAGTCGGAGGGCGCCTCATACTCGTCGTCGTCGTCACTGACAAGGCTCGGTGCTTGATTGGACTCGACAGTATGAGGGCTGAGATTTTCGGTATTGTCGACATCTCCGTCTTGAGATCGACCCAGCTGCAAGGCGTCCAACGACGCGGAGGGTGCGTATGGTGACGTATACGATGCTTGTCTGGCCGGTGTCGACGTCTCGATATGACGAGGTTTACGGCCACCTCTTGCCTTCTCAGCTCCTTTTCGGCTATTGGGACGCTGAGATGCGGCCTGAGGCATCGTCGTACGGGCAGGCAGTCGACTGCCTTGGACACTGAGTTGCGAGCGATCCGGGCCAGATTCAGTGGCCGCTTCAGTCGCCTCCTCTTCAGATTCCTCCTCGGATGAGAATGCGTTCAGGTCGACAAGCGTCTTGGCATCCCCGACCAGGTCACGAAGGTCAAGACCAAGGCCTCGCCGTTCCAACAGCGAAGACAAGTGGGGCGTATCGGGGGACGCTTTGAACGAGGGATCTGGAGCCACAGGACTGGTCTTTTCCGGCTTCTTCGGTTGGGAATCCGTGTCTGGACTGTCCTTGTTACTCTGCTTCAATGCCGATCCTTCGCTCGAAGATTTCGGCTGGTTGTTGTCCTTGGATGCTGATTCGATGGTATGTGCAGAACGGATCAAAGGGTGAACATAACCAGGCGCGCCGCCGCTTGTCGAATCACCAGTGCCTCCAATAACCATCCCAGCCTCATCGACCTCGACGGGCTCTCCAGACGCCACCGCTGCCGCATCATGGCTGGCAAACGTCCGACCATGAGCAATCCGGCAGTGGTTGATGAAACCCTGGGTGCTGGAGAAATCGAAACGTCGGCAATCCAGACAAACCAACTTCACCAGCTGACCATCGCTCTTACGCTTGATAATCATCGGGCCGGCCTTGTCCTTAGGTGGAGGGTAACCACTGGGAAGAGCCTGTAGCTTCGCATTCACGCTCCCTCTCTGGGAGCGTGACTTGCCAGCGACATAGCCGCTATCGTTGAGGCTCGACCGCGTGGTTCGTCCATCAAAAGGTCCGTAGCCTGGGTGAGGGGCGGGAGGTTCGGGCTCTCCTCCATCGAAGCGAGGATCTGGCAAGAGCCATCTTGCATAGTGTCGTGAGTAGGGGCCGTCGGTTACACCCCATGGAGCTGGCGAGACAGGAGGGCGTCCACCCCCGGGCGGTGCCACCGCAAACCCGGTCCCGTTGCTGACCGACTGCGAGATTCCCGAGACACTCGAACCCGGGTAGGGGATCTCAGCACACCGACGCAGCTGTTCCAGCGCGATCTGACATTTCGCAATCTCCTGATCGATGAGACGCAGTTCATTATGTTTCAAGAGGACTTCCAAGCTCAGTTGCGCGTCGATCGCCTGGCGCAGCCTCTCGATATCCATCTTCGGGGGTGCTTTCGCATGCTTGTCTGACTGGGGAGTGCCGGTATGATCCGGGCCGTCATTCTCGGCGCGAGGCTGCGACTCGGGATGTTGGTCGGAGGGAGCGGATGGGGGAGGCGCCGCAGTGTCGTTGGTCGCGGACTCAGAACTAGGCGTTCCGTCGTTTTTCACGTCGACTTCGGCTGGAGGAGGTGGCTGGTCGCCGCTGTCTAGGCGACGCTTCGTTGCCGGGGGCTCGTCCAAGACGGCGATCGGTTCATGGGAGTCGGCGAGTTTGCGCTTCAGCTTGTGAAGGGGAGGGCTATCCAGGACGGGCGACTTGCGCTGCGTCGGCGTCACCAGCATCTTCAAATCCTCCGCCATCACCTTGTTTCCTCCGATTCCAGAGGACCACGGCAGCAGGCGAAACATGCCATGCGAGATGTTATAGAGCGGCCCGGAAAAGGAGGAGATGCACGATCGTAGTCCGCTCAGTTGAGAGGGAGCCAATTTATCTCTGCGCGCGCATAGAGGGGGCGCGCATCAGGGTGTGTAGACGGCGACCGCGCCGGATGAAAGCCGCTGGAAGTGCGGAGGGTGAGACACGCCACTGAGACCGATAAAGACGCGTATGCGGCGATAAGGCACAGAGAGCAGAAAGTGTTCAGCAAGCGCAATACAAGGATTACTCCGTACCTGGGTGAATCCAATCCCCCCGCAGTCGAGGCGACTCCGGAAAGAAGCAGGACTGAGGGGCCTGGTGGGAAGAAGGCAAGTGAAAAAGCAGGCGTGCGGAGCGCGGCAGGCGGTTCAGATGCACAGGTTGGCCACCGCGTCTC